GTATGCTGAGAGGAAAATGTCAAATATATTAGGCGTGAGAGAGTGAGGCTCCGCCTATAAAGGAGAGCTTCGGCTCTCATCTCCACACAACAATCTCATAGGAAAAATATATCTGAGTGTTAGAAAGAAAGAGTGTGGTTAATTTCACAGACAGAGTATAAGAAAATAGTCTGTGATAAAAATAGAGAGTGTGTGATATTATAGTGAGGTTGGAATATCAAAAGAGGGTTATTTTGTTTTGAGTGGTGTAGTGGACTTTGAAGTATTTTACTCGGACCTACAAAGTATAAAATTTCTTTCTATAGTGATATCAGTTGCTCCTCTCGGGGCTGTGGTTTTTTTCCTTTATTCAAAAGAGTTTCCACGTAAAAATCTTGGTGTTATTGTTACTCTTTTATTCTTGCTAATAATGCTATCTCAGTGCTGCATTATTATTCCGCTTTTATTAGCGTAAATATTATTTCTGTAGGGGGTTTATTCCCAACAACTGATATCAAAGCACATGTTCTGCTCGTTCACAGAAGTACTATTTAGTCCGTGGAAAGAAAATATCCGGAGTAAAGTACAAGGTAGCAAAATTTAACGGAGATATCGATTTCTCAATATGGTAAAGAATGATGAGGGATCTGCTCATCCAACAAGGATTACACAAGGTACTAGATGTTGATGCCAAAAAGCCTGATACCATAAAAGTTGAGGATTGGGCTGACTTGGATGAAATGGATGCTAGTGCAATCAGGTTGCACTTATCAGATGATATGGTAAATAACATCATTGATGAAGATACCGCATGTGCCATTTGGACAAGGTTGAAAAGCCTATACATGTCCAAAACACTAAAAAATAAATTGTACCTGAAGAAGCAACTATACACCCTACACATGGGTGAAGGTACAAATTTTTTGTCACATGTAATTATATTTAACGGACTAATCACATGCTCGCCAACTTCGGAGTGAAAGTCAAAGAAGAAAATAAAGCCATATTGTTATTGAACTCATTGCCATCTTCGTACGATAATTTGGCAACAACCATCATGCACGGTAAGACCAACATTGAGTTAAAAGTTGTCACATCAGCTCTTCTAAATAAGAAGATGAGAAAAAAGCCTGAAAATCAAGGACAGGCTCTCATCACAGAAGGTAGAGGCAAGAGTTATCAAAGGAGTTCGAGCAACTATGGTAGATCCAGAGCTCGTGGGAAGTCTAGGAACCAATCCAAATCAAGAGTCAGAAATTGTTACAATTGTGATCAACCAGGTCACTTCAAAAGAGATTGCCCAAATCCAAGGAAGGGCAAAGGTGAAACCAGTAGCCATAAGAATGACGACAACACAATCGCCATGGTGCAAAACAATGATAATGTTGTCCTCTTTATAAATGAGGACGATGAATGGATTCACTTGTCAGGTCCAGAGTCAGAATGGGTGGTTGATACAACAACATTTTACCATGTCACATTGGTAAGAGATCTTTTTTGCAGATATGTAGCAGGTGATTTCGGCACTATGAGAATGGATAACTCATGTTACTCAAAGAATTGTGGGGATTGGTGACATTTATATCACGACAAATGTCGGATGCACATTGGTTCTAAAGGACGTGCGGCATGTACCTGATTTGTGAATGAACTTGATCTCGGGAATTGCTTTAGATAGAGATAGATATGAGAACTATTTTGCAAATCAAAAGTGGAAACTAACCAAAAGGTTATTGGTGATTGCGAAAGGAGTTTCTCGTGGCACGATGTACAGGACAAATGCAAAAATATGCCGAGGTGAATTGAACGCTGTACAAGATGAGATTTCTGCAGATTTGTGGAACAAAAGAATGGGTCATATGAATAAGAAGGGATTGTAGATTCTTGCTGAGAAATCACTCATTATTATGCAAAAGGTACAACAGTAAAACCTTGTGAATACTGTTTATTTGGTAAGCAACATAGAGTCTCATTTCAGATATCGCCTGAAAGAAAATTGAATATTTTTGATTTAATATATTCTGATATTTGTGGTCTAATGAAAATTGAATCAATGAGTGGTAACAAATATTTTATTACTTTTATTGATGATGCTTCAAAAAAATTATGGGTTTATATTTTGAAAACCAAAGATCAGGTGTTTCAAGTTTTCTAGAAGTTTCATGCTTTGGTAGAATAGGATACGGGTCAAAAGCTAAAGCGTCTGCGAAGTGACAACGTAGGCGAATACACTTACTATTCAAGTCATGGGATCAGACATGAAAAGACAGTTCTTGGAACCCCAGGCCACAATGGCATAGCCGAAAGGACAAACCACACCATTATTGAGAAGGTGAGAAGCATGCTCAGAATGGCTAAACTGCCTAAGTCATTCTGGGGTGAAGCAGTTCAGATAGCTTGTTACCTGATCAATAGGAGTCCATCAGTTCCATTGGCATTTGACATCCCAGAGAGAGTTTGTACCAGCAAGGAGATGTCCTACTCGCATCTGAAGGTGTTCGGTTGCAGAGCTTTTGCACATGTACCAAAAGAGCAAAAAACAAAACTGGATGATAAATATGTTCCCTCAATATTCATCGGATATGGAGATGAAGAGTTCGGATACAGATTGTCGAATCCTATAAAGAAGAAGGTCATTAGAAGCAGAGATGTAGTCTTCCGAGAAAGTAAAATTGGAACTGCTGATGATATATCAGAGAAGGCCAAGAATGGTATAATTCTAACCTTGTTACCATTCCTTCTTCTTCTAACTATCCTATAAGTGCAAAAAGTATGACCGACGAGGTTGCCTAGTAGGGGGAGCAACCTGATAAGGTTATTGAGTAGGAGGAGCAACTTGATGATGGTGTTGAGCAAGTGGAGCGCCCCACTCAGGAAGAAGAACAACCTTAACCTTTGAGGAGATCAAAAAGGCCAAGGGTAGAGTCATGCAGGTACCCTTCCACAGAATATGTCCTCATCAGTGATGAGGGGGAGTCATAAAGTCTTAAGGAGGTGTTGTCCTATTCAGAAAAGAACCAGTGCATGAAAGCCATGCAAGAAGAGATGGAATCTATATAGAAAAATGGCACGTACAAGCTGGTTGAACTTCCAAAGGGTAAAAGACCACTCAAATGTAAGTAGGTCTTTAAACTCAAGAAAGATAGAAATGAAAATATGGACAAATACAAAGCTTGATTGGTGGTTAATAGCTTCAAATAGAAGAAAGGTATTGATTTTGACAAAATTTTCTCAATGAAGTTGACAAAATTATCAAAATACATCAAAACTAGTTAAAAAGTACAAACCAATGAAGTAGGGATGGAAATTTCTTCAAAGTCCTGTCTAGTCCGAGGTCTAGGTTTCAAAAATGGTGTAGAATGACAAAATCCCAATTTAGAGTTTCTATTTAACCGGCTGTTAGGTTTTCTTCGTGTTCGCAAAGCACCTGCCGCGATTGCGAAGCACACAGGGCAGTTGGGCTTCCCTTTCGCGAGGTCCCAATCGTGCTCGCGAAGGCATCCCCAGCCAAGCCTCCGCATTCGCGGCCTGCTGGTCGCGTTCGCGATGAAGAACTCCCCTACCTTCCCCACAACCAACCCAAAGTTATGCGTTCTCGAGGGGTCTGTCACGTTCGCGAAGAGAAGTCCCCCCCCCCCCTAAGCAATCACATTCTATCTCTCGCGTTCGCGAAGAGTAACTAGCTCAGCCCCAAATTTTCCCTTCGCGATTGCAAAGTACTGAGCACTAGTAGAAAAACTAGCAATCTTACAAGTCCAAACATGGTCCGAAATCAATCCCAAACTCGCCTAAGCCCCTCGGGCTCAAAACCGAACATGCACACAAGTGTAATAACATCACATAAATTTGCTCGCTATCTCAAAACATCAAATAACAAGAATCAATCATCAAAACTCAAGATTTCAACCTGAAAACTCATTTTTTACAATCTTTCACATAATGCATCGAAACGAGCTCGGATCACCTCAGACCCCAACCAAACATGCGTACAAGTCCAAAAACATCATACGAACCTACTAGATTCGTCAAAATACCGATCCAAGGTCGTTAACCAAGAACATTGACCGTGGTCAACTCAAATTATTTTTAAAGCCAAAAATTATATTTTCTTTAAAATTTCACGTAAAAATTTTTCGAAAAAATAATGCGGACTACACACGCAAGTCATATAACATCAAATGAAGCTATGAGAGGTCTTGGATCACGAAAATGAGGACTATTACTCAAAACAACATATCGGGTCGTTACACTCGTCTTAGCCTCGTCACTACCTCGTCGGGGTTAGGCTCTACACTTACCGAGTACATTGGGTCGGTTCTAGTCATACTTCACTTCTCCACTTCTTGTGCAGATTAGGATGTTGGCACCAGGGAAATTCCAAGAGGCGCTTTGCGGATACTAGTAAGTGATTCGAGGTAGAGCTGCACCCCATTCACAGACCCTAGAGTCACTTTCCTATCTATACTGTACTGTTTCGATTTTATTTCGGACTGTGTTATCTTTCTTTTGAAAGCTTGTATTTAGCTGGATCTAGACGCTCATATACTTGTGACACCAGATCGTAGGGTGGTTTATGTTATGCTATTGACCGATTATCAGTTATTTATTATTTTTCTTTATTTTGTATTTTGTGTTATGTTGGCTTGTCTGGCATTCGGTGTCAGGCGCCATTATCCCGACGATTGGGATTTCGGATCGTGACATACTTATATAGTGCAAAATACCTAATACTCTCATTACTTATAAAAATCTAATCCTAGGGAGACAAATAGTAAGATAAGGAGAGTTGGTGCGACTATCCTCCTCACCGGTGTTGGGTGTGCCCTCCAAAATATTTTACTAAACACTTTAAAGGCCCCAAGCTCCAACTTTAATTATACTCCGTAAAAGTAATTTTCGGTCTAACCTAACCAATTTCTTTTGCAAAAAATGCAAAAAATCACATGATTTTTAAATGCACCTTTCTTATCTGTGATCTGTTTGTTTCAGGTCAAATCAGGTCCGAGAGGGACAAGTCGGTTTTTCCTCAAGAGGGGGACTGAGAGTTTTTTTCTTGTGAAAATTAATTATTTGTCATAAACAATTAATAATGCTTTGAAATCGGAAAAGGATAGCTCAAATTTAGGGCTGTCTGAGACCAGCAGCCGACATTTGTGCTCTCTCTCATCTATATAATTACAAACACTTAGACCGGCTTGAAGAATCATTAATTAAAGAAATGAAGAGTAGTGCTGATCCAAGTGTGATTCCAGCAGTGACAGTGGTATTGGAAGGGCGTTCAATATGCCAAAGGATAAGCCTTGAGAAGCATGGTAACTACAGAAGCCTTGCTAAAGCACTTAGGCAGATGTTTATAGATAGTGGTGACATTGAGTCATGTTGTTCATCATCTCTAGATTTTGATCTTTCAAATGCTCTTCCTGGTTACCTTATTGCTTATCAAGACATGGAAAATGACCTCCTCCTTGTTGGTGATCTCAACTGGAAGTAAGTAATTCTATAGTATTTGTCATTTTATTTACATAAGACATGACCCTTGACAGGAATTTGAGGAGGTCGAGCATTAAAATTGTAACTAAGGAGATAGAAGCTAGTATGATATTGTTTTCTTTTAGGCTGCTGGTGGCTCCAGTTATGTCATTAATACTTCATTAAGGTTGTAGGATAGACTGTAATATGTTTAGCGGCCCTTGTTGTGCCAAATTATTCCCTTGCGTCTGTAGTACTGTGCCTTTGTTATTCTCTCTATTTTTTGGTTATTGCATTGCTGGTGTTGTGTGTCTTGATTCCTTTGTTGTGGTACTGATACACTGTTTCTTTGGGTAAGGTCAGCATACACACTGCCTCTCTCAGACCCCACTTTCGAGATCTCATTGGGTGGTTGTTCTTGTTGTTGTATCTTTTTTAATCTTAGTGAGTGATATCAGTATAAAGGGTCGGAAGAGGAAAAGACCATTTGGCTAAGAGCAACAATCAATTGAAATGTTTCTTCCAACCTACGTGTCTTTCGTTACAAAATCTACTATTGTAGATTTGAAAACTTCAAAACAGAAACCAGACGATCCCCAAGCTACAGAAAAATTAAAGGTCTATGGGAAGTGAAAACGTTGAAGAATAATTGAATAAGGTTTAGCTTCAATATAAGTGACCACTTTGCCGTGGTATTTTTGAAAGTCTTTTCTTTTTAGACATGAAACTTTGATATTTCAGGAAGTCATAGATATGATTATTTTTTTCAATTCTCCAAAGCTAACATTATCTTTTGATAAAACCAACCAAAGATGTAAAGTTCTCTGGTAAGAGAAAAGTGTTGAAGCATAGTAGAACAAGATTTGACTTGTCGTCTACTATGTCATGACACAGTCAGAGGTCACAGTCAAGAGTACTTTCCTACCTCTAAGTGCTGCATATATTAAACCTCTGTTTCATTGAAATTATTACCTTTCTATTCCAGAACGATTGTTTACTTTAATTTCCAGAAGCATTTTCTGGTATTGCTTTCACTATTCTGAAATGAGCATTCAAAATTTATAAGAAGCTAATGATGTACTATAATCCTCATTGTTGTTCAGAGATTTCGTGAAGGTTGCTAAAAGAATCCGAATTTTGCCAGTGAAGCCGACCTCACGGAAGGGGAAAACGGAGAATATTTAATCATTTTTTTGTTTTCTTTTGCTTTTTCTTTCTTTCTTTTTTTATTTGCGGCATGTTGAATCATTATGTTTGGAATGTATCCCAAAAAATGCATTTAACCGAAGACATTTGTAATTTCTTTAGTATTATGTTTGTAGTTTTTTTGTAAGGAATGGTATGTCTCAGCACTCCAATTTTCTCTTTTGTTCAATTGAATGTTTAGCTCAATAGAGGGGGACAGATAGTTATTTATTTATTTAGATATTTAGAACGCCAGCTTCAGATTTTTGGTTAATGATTTAGGAATGTTATTATAAGTTAGAGGACATTCAAGATTGCACTTTAATCCAAAATGGTTGTCTTCGCGCCACGATCGTTCTTCTCTTTAATTTCCATGTCTATTCACCTAGTCTAACTTTTGCCACGACATTAAGTAATGGCTTAGCTCTATCACAATCCAAAATCCCACCCAGTCATGATGGCACCTAAGCTAACCAATAAATAACACAGTCCAAGCAAAAAACATTGAATAAATTTTGAAATAAAAATGCAAAAATTTAATATATGATTCCCAAGGACTGATAGTATAAATCATTAGCGACTAAGAACAAGAATACAACTCTGGTTTGAGGAAAGATACGTCATCTATTTGCAATTTATATAAATAGAAATATAAGTCTTAAACTACCACGAACAAGTGGTAGCTTGTATGTGGAATGCTGGTACGTCTTCAACGCTAACTCAGCTCTAGAATCTGCACGCAAAATGTAAAAGTGTAGTATGAGTAGAAACGATCCCATATACTCAATAAACATCTTGACTAACCTCGGTGAAGTAATAGCGAGGTTTTTAAGTCAAAAGATAGTCACTTGATTAACTTGTGCGTTCATAAGCAAGAGCAAATTACAAGAAGGAAGACAAGTAACAATGAAAGAGTCAAATAAAAAAGGGACATGCATGTTACACAACATAACAACTTATCCATTATTAGTAAATCAAGTCCGGAAGGAGCAATATCTAAGAAACAAAATAAGCCATGTATACAACCCATAAAATTAAAAGAGTATGTTCATGATATCAAATTAAATGGCACGGCAACATTTTTTGCGCATTTATTTCATCATCACTAAGTATATGTATATATGTATGCCGAATCAAATGGAACTACAACACCCTTCATGCATTTATCTCATCCTTACCAAGCATATGTATAACAGTACCAACCAGGTAGAAGGCATATAAAAAACAGTAACAATAAAGTAGAAGATACAAAGATAACAGTAACAAAGAAGGTAGAAGTATATACAGATAAAGGTAACGATAAAGATAGAAGATATAGATGCAATAACAACAAATAAGTAAGAAGAATATAGATATCAATAACAAACAAGGTGGAAGATATAGACGAAATAACAATAAATAAGATAGAATGCATAAATATAAATATAACAAACAAGAAAGGAAGCATGGATGTAACAAATATAAACAAATAGAAGGCATAGATAGAACAATAACAATAAAGTAGAAGGGATAAAGGTGACAACAACAAACAAAATAGTAGGCATAGATGAAACCATAACAATCCAGGTAAAGGTATCAATACATACGTGAGGGAAAGACAACACAAATGTAATGCATGTCCCCCGTCCTCGCCTGTACGGAAACACCCTTTGTGCCATGAACTCTCATCATCACTTACACAGAGACACCCTTCGTGTCATATACTCGCATCCCTGCTTGGACAGAAACACCCTTCGTTTTTCAATAATAATAATAATAACATCAAAAAGTATGGAAATATCCTTTGAGCAAAAATCACTCTTCTTCACATGCACAGAAATACTCTTCGTGCAATTTTCTTCTCCTCACCAAGTACATATAAAATAATACCAAGCAAGGTAGAAAGCTAAATAACATCAACAAGAGTTTAAGCATAATACACAATATGAGAGATAATCAGAGCTTTTGCACCAATGGCGAGCAAATCTTTCAAGAATCATAATTTTCAAGTATCTCAACAAAACTTAAACACGATCTCCCGCATAAATATGGAACCAAAGTATTACCAGAATAACGGATATAGATATGTGTTCATCATATAGGTATTGCTACAGCCATATTAGGTACATCAACAATCTCAAAAATTAGTTCATCATATTTAATTAAGATGTAATAATCTAAAAACATGATCTCTACGATAGATATTCGAACTCAAGTAATCAATGAAATAAAGTAAGATGTAAGTCAAAAAGATCACAAGGTTCAACAGGAAGAATATAATCTACCGTAATCATGGATAAGCCTGGCACATGTATATACGCTCGTCACCTCGCACATGCATCACCCCCGCATGTAGCAAACAATATCATTTATTAGAAAGATTTCTCAACAAAGCTAGGCAAGACACTTACCTCATCTGGGCTAATCTTCAACCTCAAATCATTTCAAAATCTCTCTCTAGCCCTCCAATCATGCAAATCCAACCCAAACATCATCCAAGAAAGTGAAAAAATGCTATAGTAAGCTATCCCAATCAATAGAGCTTCGATCTTTGATAAATTGTCAAAAAATCAATAGAAGTCAACCCAGACGCACGTGCACGAAATATAGAACCAATACCAAATATCGATAACACATAACCTGCCCAGTCCAAATATGTGATTACATTTCAAATTCAAGTTCAAATCGGTACTTAAAATCCCAAAATATACTTTTTTATCTTGTAGACAAAAATTCCAAATTTCACTTTAAAAATTCGCATTTTATTTGTAGAAATTCATGGGGAATCAATATATATATAACCAAATTCAAGTAAAAATTACTTACCCACTAAGTAATAATAAAAATCTGCTAAAAAATTATATCTTCCTGAGCTCCAAAATTTTGTGAGAAAAAGTGACTAAATTCCGAAACAGGTAAAAAAATACATTAGATGTCCCAACTCGAGTCAGATGTTAGATGATCCCGAAAATTACTTTTTACAATCCCAACATAATTCTTGCACGATTCCTCCCAAAATGGCCTTTTAAATCACTCAATTTGGCCTAAATATGAGTGAGATATGATGCTTTGAAGTTTTGCAGGATGTCTGAAATTTATGGACGAACTTAGGGATATAACCACTATTTTTTCGAAATTGTTTAAGCAGAAATTCAGTAATTGCAAAATATTAATTTTAGCACGTTCACTCTTTCCTTCACATATGAATTTGAAGATTAATAAGGTTTTAGCACAACCAATCGGCCGACAGCACGTGATGAGGACAAACAGGTGAGTATATTTGTTCAAATTGTGCAAGTTTCCCCCTTTCCCATCCCCCCGCCCCATGTAGTGGTCGGTGCGGGAAACTTATTATCCAGTCGATGAAGATCCCGAAACGGAATCCCTAGTTCACAAGCCTGTTCCATAGCTAGCCCGGGTTGAACCATACTCCGTGGAAGCACACATTTTGGGGTAGACAAATCGATCAGGTCGAATAATCCATTACAGTTCTGATCCCTTTGGCACTTGGGGTAGTGACATATTTAGACTTGAAATAAAAAGGTAATACATCTTTTTTCTCTTTCATTCTAGAAGATAGAGCCACCTTTAGCTCACCCAAAATGCTCTTAAACCTCTTTAAGAACTCCTAAAATATTCAAGGTAAAATCAAGGTCAACCTCGTAGGATTTAGCGTACAGAATATTGTTACCATAAATGTATCCTCTGTCTACTTGTTATACTGATTTTGGAGATTCCCTGGAGGCGAAGATAGTCACCATAGAAGCGTAAGAATTCAGGAAGCGTAGGTAATTCTTCAAAACGGTATGTAAGGAAGTCTTCTTCCTTGGCATGACTTAATATAAACTCGACGAAGTCCCTCCCTAGTAGGGTACATATTTCAGCGGTTGGTTGTCACACTCCAATTCTCTGAAGTAGCTGTACAGAAGTTAATAGGTACCAAAGTATATATTCCATTTATTTTGGGTATAGTGGGGCCCCGTCCCGATCAACTTATGTGTCATAGTACTACTAGAGGCTTGAAGACTTGTGTCCAAATATATGTAAATATTGTTACGACTCGGTTGACACTACAAATGTTCATATATGAATATATTTAATGTTAAGTTTTTTTTCTACAGTTAATTATGAATATTTATTAATTTTGGTAACAATCTAGGAGGCCTGATCAGTTCATATTCATAATGAAATATTTAAGTATAATGGGACTTCGTGCATTATTTGCATGTTGCATCTCCCGAGGTTGGGGTGTGACAAACTTGCTATCAGAGCAAGTTTGTCCTAAGGAGTCTGCAAACTGTATCTAGTAGAGTCTTGTTCATAAGTATGACATGCACCATAGGCTAAGGATATTTAGGATGGATACCTTTGCTTTTGATCTAGATCATGCAATAGAGCTGAGTCGTAAGCGTTCACTTCTAATCTTCATCTTTTTTATGTTAATAGTGATGTCTACTACAAGATGACATGATGTCATTTAGAGAATAGATGAAGAGGGTGGTGAGGGTGCCAATCAGGTGCCACCTGTCAATATAGATCAACATGAACCTCGTGATGAGGTTGATATTCAGGTTTCAGGAACAACACTACTACCACCGGCTTGGCATAGAGAAACTGATGAACCCTCGATGCTTTCCTCGGTTGCTATTGATTAGGATTTAAATATGAGAATTGTTGTGCAGTTGTTAGCTCGATTAGTAGCCTGTCAGTCCCAACATCAGATCCCCGACACTTCAGATAGAGCAGTCAGCGCGAGAGTTCGAGATTTTATTAATTTATACCCCTCGGTATTCACGGGAACAGGTTCAAATAAGGATCATTATAACTTTTTAAATTAGATGTAGTGGACTTTACGAGTTATGCATAATACTGATATGGACTTCGTAGAGCTTGATTCTTATAGATTGTGGGATATTGTTGTGACTTGGTATGAAACTTAGGAACAATGTAGAGGGCCTCTTGCCCCACCAGCAGGATTGAGGGAGTTTTCTGAGGCATTTCAGCAGAAATATTTGCCTATTGAGATCCATCAGGCTACACAAGATAAGTTCTTACAGTTAGAGCAAGGTAATATGAGTGCTTGAGAGTATAGTATGTAGTTTAACTCCTTGGCTAGATATGCCCTTTCAGTTGTGGCTAACATGAGTGATAGAGTGCGTAAATTTGTGAGCAGTCTGGGACCACATTTGATTAACGAGTGTACCAGTGCTTCTATAAATCTGAACATG